TCTTTTTCTTCTTGTTTTCTTATATTTATTTTTTCATCTCGTTAAAAATCTGAACGCATCTTCAGAACGAAACGAGTTCGGAATAATTAACATGGGAATGGCAATTCTTTTGTTTTAAATCGATTTCCGCATTTTTCGATGTGAATCATACTGGGAAAAAAATTAAAAAGAAATCCTTAGGGCAAGTTGCATGAAGTAATGAGATTCAGATTTTTAGGTAAAATTTAAGAAAATAATAATCCAATCCACATCTTTCAAACATACTTATAATATATACTCGTTATGTCGTTTATTGTCTCTAATGACACTCTCTGTACAATATTCATCTCTATGTGCCACTATTTGTCTTTCTTACACTTTATATATTATTCTTTTGTTATCCCATCCATATGTCGTGCTATTTACGTCAACATAATTATCTTTTAATGCGTTTGTACCAAGCGAGCTTAAAGAAGTTTTACTTCAGAATTTCACTTTGTATTTTTTATATCGCATGTTGGGTATCGTTTGAAGGGGCTTTTAGAATAGAATCCGAATATTGAAATAAACCACGTGGTTTGTCCACAAAATATACACTTTTTACGAATTTGTAGCAGAGGAGTCTAAAGAAGTTTTACTTCAAAAATTTAGAATTGTATTTTTTATATGGCTTGTGGGGTATCATTTGAAAGGTCTTTTAGAATAAAATCCGAATACAGAAATTAACTGTATGCTGTATTTGCCGACAAATTATATGATTTTATTAATTTGTAGTAAACGAGCTTAAAGAAGTTTTACTTCAATAACATATAGACTACATCTTTTAATGCATGTGGGGTATCGTTTAAAAGGTCTTTTTGAATAGAATACGAATATTGAAATTAACTTTGTGGTTTGACCTCAAAATATATACTTTTTACGAATTTGTAGCATAGGAGTGTTAAGAAGTTTTACTTCAAAAATGTCATATTATTTTTTATGGCATGTGAGGTATCGTTTGAAAGGGCTTTTTGAATTGAATCCGAATACTGAACTTAACTTTGTGGTTTGACCTCAAAATATACACTTTTTACGAATTTGTGGCATAGGTGTCTAAAGAAGTTTTACTTCAAAAATTATCTTTTATATGTTATTAACAAGAAGTTTTACTTCAATATTATAATTTATTGGATTTTTTAGGTGTAAATCTTTTCTAGCGCATACTAAAATTAAATTAACTATGTGATTTATCCACAAAATATACACTTTTTACGAATTTGTAGCAGAGGAGTCTAAAGAAGTTTTACTTCAAAAATTTAGAATTGTATTTTTTATATGGCTTGTGAGGTATCATTTGAAAGGTATTTTAGAATAAAATCCGAATACAGAAATTAACTGTATGCTGTATTTGCCGACAAATTATATGATTTGATTAATTTGTAGTATAGGAGCTTAAAGAAGTTTTACTTCAATAACATATAGACTACATCTTTTAATGCATGTGGGGTATCGTTTAAAAGGTCTTTTAGAATAGAATCCGAATACTGAAATTAATTGTATGATTTGTTCATAAACTATACGCTTTTTATGCGATCGTTTACTACGAGCTTTAAGAAGTTTTACTTCAATGTTATAATTCATAGATTTTTTCAGGTGTAAAATTTTTCTAACGATTACTAATCAACTATATGATTTATCCACAAAATATACACTTTTTACGAATTTGTAGAAAAGAAGTCTAAAAAAGTTTTACTTCAAAAATGTCAAATTCTTTTATATGCCATATGGGGTATCATTTGAAAGGTCTTTTTGCATAGAATCCGAATACTGAAATTAACTTTGTGATTTATTCACAAAATATACGCCTTTAATGAATTTGTCGTGAACGACTTTAAAGAAGTTTTACTTCAATAACATGTAGATTGTACGTTTTATGGCATGTGGGGTATCATTTAGAAGGTCTCGACGAGTAGAAGACGATTTTTACACAATTATTATATTGTGAAAAAATGTTATATCTATAACCATATTTTATTGCTTAAAATGTTAGAATGCTAAAATTCATTAATTTTTTTTTTTGAATATATGTGGAGTAACTCTTTTGTAACTAATACTAAAATCAACTATGTGTCCACAAAATATACACTTTTAATGAATTTGTAGCAAACAATCTTAAAGAAGTTTTACTTCAAAAATGTCAGATTATTTTTTATAGTGTGGCGATATCAAGCAGGCTGGTTTTTATTTGTAAAAAAACAATCGGACATGTCAATGATATTTTTGATATCGAAATATTTTTACAGTTAATAAATTTATATTTTTTTATTATGTTGGGAGTTTCTAATTTTATATATTATCATAACAACACCACACTTTGGTGACTCACGACGATGGAGATGAAGATAAAGGAGTTTTATTTTTCAAAGATTTAAGAAAAATTGATTTTGACGCAGCACCATAATCACTGGTCTTCAGTGACGACCTATAAGGTATGTCCAGTCCAATCCATCATAGTTAACGCACTTACTATCTGGATCAGACTTCCGAGGTTACTCATTTGGTATACCCAGACCTCAGTGTTTATTGCTGACAGAAAAAATAATTTGGAGCCTGAACTTTTCATTGGAATGCAATTCAACCTCTCTTTCTCTGTTAACTCAACAAATCGTCTTATAATGCTACCTCCCATTATCGGTGACAACGACGAATCAAAACAAAATTTGACATAATTTATTGGATTCCACAATTCTGGACTCTTATGTCAAAGAAACCAATGATCCTGATTTGGATAAAGAGCCAACTTCTTTCTCTGATCGGAACTCATCAGATACGAATGCAACGCTTGCAGAAATGGAAACTGTACCCATAAATTATGCATTCTAAACATTAAGTTATTCTGATATAACTAATACCCATTAGATCGAGAACATTATGCAGAATATGGAGTTGATGGCAGGTCAAATCACCACATACGGTGGATCTGCTGACGAAACATGGAAATTTGTAATTGACCAGTATTACAACACTGGTCTGCTATAATCTGCTTTCCCACCACATTTTTATAACGTGTTTCCCTGTATTTTCTTTTTTTAACTGTGAGATCAACACTGGGCAGGGAGTGTGTGGCGATATCAAGCAGGCTGGTTTTTATTTGTAAAAAAACAATCGGACATGTCAATGATATTTTTGATATCGAAATATTTTTACAGTTAATAAATTTATATTTTTTTATTATGTTGGGAGTTTCTAATTTTATATATTATCATAATCACACTACTATAGTATGTTGGGTATCGTTTAAAAGGTCTCGACGAATAGAAAACGAAAAAGATGATTATATTGTAATAAAAATTTATATTGTAATAAAAACTGCAAATTGTATTGCAAAATATATTAAAACATTATAATTTATTGATTTGTTTTAAGTGTAATATTTCTCTAGCAAATACTAATTAACTATGGATTTATCCACAAAATTTACACGATTTATGATTTTCTAGTTATCGAGCTTAAAGAAGTTTTACTTCAATAACATGAAGATTGTATCTTTTAAGGCATGCGGGGTATCATTTAAA